CCCCCTTGTATCAAGTTCCATCCTGGGTTAAAGCTGGTTACTGTCAATTTCCTGTAAGACTTGCATCTCCACAATAGAACGTATTGAAGCTGCAGCCGTTACCTTGAGCATGCCTGAACGACCATCATTAATCCCCGCTCCTCCTGATCCATACCTTCATTGCCCCAATCTCACAGCCATTTGCTTTCTCTGGTAGCAATCATTTTGTTCCTGACCTGTATATGAACTTGCATCCCCAGCATCCTTTTAGACATGTTTGCAAGTCGTCAAAGGTGTGCAGAGCCAACGTCTGCGGTGGCCAGTGCCGACACATCTAAAGGGATCCTGGGGACGTCTGATTTTCTAAAGAATAAGCAGAAAGCTGTGACTATGGGAGCCTGCACTCCCCCACTAACAGGTCCGGGATTGGTATAGTCACCCATAACTGGGTATAGGGGGTGAGTAATGGATCACCATTCCAATCCCTGACCTATAACTAGAACAGTGGGCGAGTCAGTAACTGGCACGTGGGTTTGCCACTTACCAGCTGTCCAGTTTTGGGATCCAGAGTATAGCTGGAGTTTTGGAAGGTGGGACTGCCCTTCGGGTTTTCGGGCATCAGGACGTCGTTCTTATACCAGACAAAGGTTGGCCGCGGTGAGGCGTCATTCTCCATGCAGAAAAGTGTTGCCGCACTCCCGGTGCTGACAGAAAGTGGCACCTGAGCAACGGGCACAGAGGGGGGAACTGAACATGAACAGAGAGTTAGAGGCGATTCAAACGTGTCTTATAAAGTTACATTACTGAGGTCTGCCGCAAATTTTCTCACCCAACACCACCAGCTCAGTCTTGTCCACTCTGTAATCCGGATTTCCAGCGCCATCTTTTCCGGTAACCTCGCACGCATATTCCCCGCTGTCCTTCCTGGTCACGGAATTCAGCCGGAGGCCTGTTGGAAAGACGTCCACCCGCCCCTTATAGGAAGCTGTAAGAGAAATCAGCTTAACAATATCCATGGCCCACTAGATTTTATATCTGTCCACTCTCGCCAATATCCATGGCCCACTAGATTTTATATCTGACCCTCCCCCCCACCACCAAATGTTGTAAAGAAGGGGGACATTTTCTCCGTGCATTAGATGAAAAGGTGTTAAATTGGTAACGTACCTGTCAGCTCGTTGTCATAGTATATCAGGGCGCTATTAGTCTCCGATGCGAACTTCCACTCTATACGTGGGTTGACGAAGGTGTTAGGATAGGAGCACTTGAATTCAGCAGCTAAGGAGGAAGATCACGGTATAAGTGTATTGCATTAAGAGAACGACCCCCCCGCCT